GAGAGAGAGAGAGCATATCAGCATGCGTGTTTGTGTTTGTGTGTGTGTCTGTCTGTGTGTGTGTGCAAGTGTGTGTGTGTGTGAGAGAGAGAGAGCATATCAAGCATGCGTGTGTGTGTGTTTGTGTGTTTGTGTGTGTGTGTGTGTTTTTAAAGAAATTTAAATGGATGAAAAGTAAGGAAACATTGAGATCTTTGTACAGTTTATCATCCAATAAAACAATACTAAAAGGAGGTGTTTTGTCTTAAACTAGAATGCAAGAACCTTTGTGAGTGGCAGAACAGTATTTAATCTTAAAGCTGATATTGTATTAAATGAAATATATGTAACATTTATTTTCTAGAGTTATTTAGACGTCTTGTACATGTGGTGCTGTAAGTGTTCAAATATTACGATAGCATCTGTAAAAAGGAAAAGAATATATCTTTTTTTGTAAATGTTGTTTCTTTTTAGAGAAAAGATGATTCTTGTACAGCATGGCTATGATCCTATGCAATATGTATTCATATAGACCTATTGACAATTGTAAGGTGGGGTGGGTTTGTTTAATTACAGAGAATAAAAAGCTTTAACGGAACAGTTCAGAGATAAGGGTGCTTCGCATTTAAAAAGCACTGCTGTAGTTGCATGACAACTCCTGATCAATACAGTGTGTGTCACCATGACAACGGACCAACATACAAGGGAGGAAGTGGGTGGAGCTAAAGCCATTACAGACTATATGAAACCAATTGTTTCCTTTTTCAGAATAAAGGTTCCAAAATATGTGTTTTTGTATCATTCTGAATGAATGTGCTGTGAGATTTGTCTCCCACCTCAGCAACTGTTGCCGTCTCATATTAACAGACAAACTTTTGCTAGGCTGACTTTTTACTGAAAATCAGTAACTTATTTTATTTCAGTTAGTTGCCAATGCAACATTTCCTTTTTTATTTATTTATTACATTTTTTTAAGTTAAAATGTTCCGTATTTATATTTTATTTTAGCTTTATTTAAATTAACAAAATTATTTTTAATAGTTTTAGTTGCGTTAACATTCTATTTTAGTTAGTTGCCAACACAACATTTCTATTTTTTAAACTTTTTTTTTTTTTTTCATCTTATATTGATATTTTATTTCAGGTTTATTTCATTTAACGGAATAATTTTTAATAGTTTTAGTAATTTTAGTACTTAAACTTATTCTATTTCAGTTAGTTGCCAAGGCTACATTTTTTTTTTTACTTTTAAGTTTTCTAATATTTCTATTTTATTTTAGATTTATTTCAATTAAATGATTTTTAAGAAGTTTAGTAGTGCTGTCAATCGATTAAAAGAAAAACCTAATTAATCAAATTTTTTCTGAAATGAATCACGATTAATCCCACCTAACAAAGTTTTTACATATAATTTATAATGCAATAATTTCACATTCAATCTTCAAATTAATGTAGAAACAGAGTATTTTTTAAATATTTATTTAATGGAATCTTTTTTATGTCTGAAGGCGAGTATCACCGATACCAATACTACTGATGTCTCTATGAAATTGTTTTTTTTTCTTAATATTTAGCCATTGACTAAAGCCCATCAACATTACAGTATAATTGAGAGCTATCAATTTTAACATTTATTAGACTTCATAAAAAATAACAACTTCTAATTTAAGTGAACTTAAAACAATTTTCACATAAACCCATTATAATAAATGTCATATTTAGCTACATGTGCCCTTCAGCAAGTAGGAAATATACAGAAATTGAACAAAGTTATCAAACAATTAAATATAGATGGATCCTTAAAGCTACAGAAGTTATTGATTTCCTCTTTTTTTTTTCTTTTGTTAACACGTTAAACTGAAAAAAATTAATCGCATGTGTTAACACGCTAATTTTGACCGCACTAAATTTTAGTAAACTTCATTTAGTTGCCAAGGCAACATTTTAATTTCTTTAAAAAATGTTAAGTTCAAGTTTTTCATCTATTATTTATATTTTCTTTCAGCTTTATTTCATTTAATAGGATTTTTAATAATTTTACTGCTTATGTCAGTTAGTTGCCAAGACAACATTTCTATTTAAGTTTTTGATCTAATATTTATATGTCAGCTTTATTGCCATTAATTGCCATAAACAAGAGTGATGTGATTTTGAGAGCACAGCTCTACCTCATTCTTGCGTCAGCTGCTTCAGCTTCTTCTCGACGTCCTCCACGAAAGCAGGAAAACCAGAATCGAGCAGACAGAGGCGCAGTAGTGCCTCCAGGTCTCCAGAGGGCAGCGTGCACTGATGAAACGCCATCGGCAGGGACAGCTCACGCTCACCCAGGAAGTACTGAAGAGGAAGAGATTATAATGTGCATGAAAAAGTCAGGGTGACATCTCAGAGGTCAAATTAAAATATCACCGACTACAGCGTCTAATGCAGTGACTCGACACCAGATCAGTGGAAATCCAGTGGTACCTGAGAAAGGTGTTTGATTGACAGCGGTTCCATGGCAACGGCAGGGGCCGCCCGTGGTGCATCTTCAGGGGCCTGAAGTGGAAACAGAAATAGATCAGTTCATTATAGTCTCAGGACTCACACGGAGGGTCTCACCAGCCAATCAATACCCTCATTACTAATTAAATGTCCTCATCCCTGGCAATCTTTCTCATCCTGCTGCGGGGCGTCGCTGTCACTAAACATATTCTACACAGAGACTTCCCTTTGTGCTTGTGTGTTCACTATATTTAGAGCCTGGAATATGTGTATTTACATTTCAGAATCACAAATAAACAGTTCAGCTGAGGGTGGGATTATTTCCCTCTCAGCGCCCATTTATTATCATTATGTGGCAACAGCACCACCTAGTGACGGCAATACAAATTAACATTGATTATTAGTTAAATTAACTGCACTTAACATGAAATCAAAACTACATTAATTTTTTTAATAAATGTTCCTTATTATGCACACTTCATATTTCCGTGATAAAATTGGGAACAAAAAATCTTTCATCAAAATAAAACTTCTCAAATGATTTCAGCAGCATAACCAAAGGGAAAAATATTAAATAAATCATAAGCCAGTTCTGTCATCCAATTAAATCTTGTACTGCATTATTTCCTGCTAAATATACTGTTAGCCTATAAATAACATTACATGCAATAAACGTGTTGCACAACTCATTTCTGTTTATAGCTTGATATAAATATTATGCACAGTAAGTCCAGATAGATAGATAGATAGATGTTGTGACTCAATTAAATCCTGTCCTACATAATTTACTGCTAAATATTCTGTTATATGTCACATTACATACCGTACATTAAACGTGTTGCAAAAGTCAATTCAACTGTTTATAGGTTGATATAAATGTTATTTACACTAAGTACAGACAGACAGATAAATGGGTGAATTTTCATAATCTTTCATCAAAATGTGAAAATTTCTCAAATGATTTCTGAT